TTAAATAGCTAGAAGGGATTATGCTCAGTGAAATAAGTCAGAAGGAAAAAGAAAAATATCAGATGGTTTCACTTATAGGAGGAATATAGGGGAACCATACAAGAGATCAAGGAAAAAAATGACAATAAAAACACAACGCAACAAAACAAAAATAAACAGACAGCTATAAATCACAGACATCCAGCAGGGGAGGGGGAGGGAGAAGGCTCAAAACAAGGGCAGGAAGAGCACAAGGGACTATGAAGATGGTGCATGGGTGAAGTGGTGGTGGGAATTCTATGGGGACTACACATGAGAAAAGAAAGCAAACATTGTAAACAAATGAACAATGATGTAAAAAATATATAAATAAATAATTAAATTTAAAAATAGGTTTTTATATATTTATAGAGATGTGCAACTATTACCACATCAGTTTTAGAACAGTTTCATCACATCAAAAGAAACCATTTAGCCATTACTCCTGACCTCATGAGACCCCCCTCCCTGTCTCCCCCAACGCTAAGCAACAACTAATCTATTTTCTGTCTCTATAGAATACTTTATTCTATAGACATTTCACTTGAATGGACTCATATAGTATGTGGTCTTTGTGTCAGACTTCTTTCACTTAGGATAATGTCTCCAAAGTTCATTCATTATTGTAACATCTATCAGTACTTCATTCCTTTTTCTGGCTGAATAATATTCCATTGTGCAGATATACCACATTTATTTATCCATTTGTCAGCAAATGTGCATTTGAATTCTTTCTACCTTTTGCCTACTATAAGTAATGCTATATAAATATGCATGGTCAAATTTTTTTTTTGAAGAATAGCAAAGCATTTTTATTTGAATAAAATCTACTTCCACAACACATTGAATTACCAAACTTCTTCCAAGGCCATTCACCGAATACCCCAAAGATGGTTTTAAGTCAAAAAAAAATTTTAATTATTTTTTTAATTTTACATATTTTACATCATTTTTCATTTTTGCACAATGTATGCATTTTCATCTTGGTTATGAATATTACTCAGCAATCAAAAAAGATAAACTCATGCAATTTGCAGCAACATGGATGGAGCTGGAAGGGATCATGCTCAGCGAAATACACCAGAAAGAAAAAGAAAAATACCAGATGGTCTCACTCATAGCAGGAATTTAGAGAACCTAAATAAGGGACCAGGAAAAAGACTAATTATAATAAAGTAAAAATCAAAATCATGGTCAAATTTTTATGTGACCATACTTTTCCATTTATCTTGGATATATACTGAGGAGTAGAATATGAGGGTCAAATGGTAACTGTTTAATTGTGTGAGGAACTGCCAGACTGTTTTCCAAAGCAACTGCACCATTTTACATTCCTGCCAGCAACATATAGAGTTTCCATTTTCTACACATCCTGACCAACACTTATTATCTGACTTTTTGGTTTAGTGGTTGTGAGGTGGTATCTTACTGTACTTCCCTGATTGGCACTTCCCTGATAACTAATAATATCAAGCATCCTTTCATTTGTTTATTAACCATTACCCCTTCATTTGTGAAGGGTAATTTTACCAGTTACGGAAACCATCGTGCCCTTTCTTCTCACCTCCTTGGTATCTAACAAGAAATATGCTGTCACTTTGTTTTTCCTCCATAGATGAGGTGTCATTTTTCACTTGCTAATTTTAAGATGTTTTTCTTTGTCTTTAGTTGTCTGAAGTTTGATTATTATGTGTCTTGGTATAGATTTCTTTGGTTGATCCTTGGGGTTTGCTCAGTTTCTTGAATCTCTAGGTTGATGTGTTTTGCCAAATTTGATAAATTTTCAGCATTATTTTTTCAATTACTTTTTCAGACCCATGCTCCTCCTCCCCTTCCTAGGCTCTGATGACAAGAATGCTGGAACTGTTATTGTAGTCTCACAGGTCCCTGAGACTCTGTTCATTTTCTTCCAGTCAATTTCTTGCTGTTGCTCGGGTCTGATCATTCTTATTTTCTATCTTCAAGTTCTCTGATTCTTTCCTCTGTCCTCTCTATTCTGATGCTAGCCCTATTGAGGTTTTTTTTGTTTTTTTTTTTTTTTTGGTTATTATAATTTTCACTTCTAAAATCTTCACTCAGTTCTTTTTAAAAAAAAAAAAAAGATTTATTTATTCATACATACAAGAACCGGGATACAGGTCAGACGCACAGGAAGTGAGAGGATTCACCAGAGACAGAGTGGGGAACAGAACAGGCGACTGACGAAATACACTGCTGAGGGGAGCAGCAGGCGAGACAGGAGAGGTCTGCCGCTCCATGTGGGATTCTCGCTGGCCAGCCAGGATTGAACCCGTGCTGCAGAGGCTCTGGACACCTTCACAGCACTGTGCTCAACCGCCTGCCCCACCAGGGGAGGCCACTCAGTTCTTTATATCTCTGCTTCTTCTTTGCTGATGCTTTCTATATTTGCACTTCTTTTAAGTGTATTGAAGCATTTTTATGATGTCTCTTAAAATCCTCCTCAGATAATTCTAACATCTGTACCATCTCAGTGCTGGTGCCTGTTGTTGTCTTTCTCATTCTCATTTTCTGCTTCTTTGTAGGATGCCTGATTTTCTATTATGTCCCGGACACTTTGGGAAATATGAGACTCCAAATATCATTTAAATCTTGAGTTTAGCAGGCCTCCATTGACATTGTTCTGCCTGAAAAAGAGAATCTCTTTTTTCTTTTTCACTGGTAAAAGTTCATCTTCCCCATTAAGCCCCCTTTGACACCAGAGAAGGGGGATGAACACTTTGTGGCTGGGTTGTGTGTGTGTGTGTGTGTGTGTGTGTGTAATTTCAGGCTTCCTACCAGAACACCTCTGACACCACACTGGTGAAGAAGGAGAAGGGCATCTTGTGACCAGGTGGATGTGGAAGTTCAAGAGCCCCACACAGCCTACACTGTGTGTAGTGGCAGAACAGGGACAGAGCAGGTTGTCTCTGATTCAAGCGGACAAGACAGGTGAAGGAGGAGTCCTGGAGCAGTGCAGCAACCAGGTACACGGCAGGCAGGGGTGCTGGGGGGCCAGGAGGCCTCTAGGCCTCCAAGACCCCAGCAAATCTTCACTCTGGGCTTCTCTGTCCTTCTTTCTCCTCTTCTCTCTCCTGCCTCTGCTTCTCTTGGTGGATATCTCAATATTGCAGTCATGGCCCACAGAAGTAAAGAACACAATTATAACAGTGGAGCAAACACAGGTGCCTGCCATCAGGCATGCAATCCTAATGGTGGGAGGGCAAAAAAGACTGAAAATCATTTACCCTACTCTGTGGCTACACTATGTGGAAGGGGCCTCATTACCTTGAAGCAAGGATGAAAATCTAGGCTCCCCTGTCAGCCGAAGGCTGACTGGGGAGCCAAAGAGTTGTCTGTGATGCTAGGCTGGAGTAGTGCAGTTATTATCTAAATTTTTCCCTCTTGCCATCTTGGCTAAAGATAACAGGCTTTCTTGGGCTATTTTTGTCCGTGCCAGTTGGCATTCTGGATTGCTAGCTTCTCCAGCACCCAGTGCAGAATATATGTGGCAAAGAGAAAACATGAAATCACTGCTGTGTCATTCTTCAGGTACCCAGGTCCCTAGTCAGTCTGTTTCTTTCCAACTGAAGAGTCTTCTTATTTTTATTTTACAGGATGACCAGGATTTTTAGCTGTATGTAGCAGGAGAAATAGGGAGAATTGCATCTGCTTTGTTTTGACCCCATTGATAATTTTTAACTTCATTTTTGACTAGGTGATATATTCACTTGGTTCTCTTTGCCAGTCCTCCAGATCACCCTCGCACAGAAAAACATTCTGTTTTCTTGGTGGGTGAGTGGTGGGATATATGTAGAGATTATACAAATAAAAGTAACTAAGGAAATATCCTTAATATTTTTTCACAAAGGTAGTATTGTTACTGTTATGTTGAACACTGATTTTTTAAAAATATATATAAATTTTAACATGTTTAATGAAATGTTACACATATTTTGAATAATGCAGCCATTGAAATTTTCAAATATGCCTTCTGTTGCACACATGCTCATATTTTCTATGAGTGGAATCACTTCGTTCTAGTGTATATGCATCTTCAACATGATCGGGTAAAGCCAAAATGCATTCCAATGTGTTTGTACCAATTTACATCACCCTGAGCAACAGGAGAGTTCTTCTCTACCATATTCTCTCCAACACTTCACATGTCAACCTTTCTTCACCAAAGACATTCTACAGATTGTGTAGCGGTGTCTCATTATGATTTGAATTTTCATTCCCTTGTTGCGTAGAAGGGTAATCTCTTTTTGTGTCTGTTGACATCTTGGATTTTTCTTTTGTAAAATGCCTGTTCAAATCCTTTGTCTACTTTTCTACTGGGTGGTCTCTTTCTTCTTTAATTCATAATAGTTCCTTACATGTTCTAGACGCAAGTCCTTTTTTTATTTCTCTTATAAGGCTGTCTTTCAAGTGAATAGAAATTTTAAACTTTATTGTGGACAGACTTACCAATCTTTTTCTCTAAGGTTAATGTTTTTGTATAGCATTTGAGAATTATTTTCTTAATCCAGGATCGAGAAGATATTCATTTATATTATCTTTAAAACACTTTATTGTTTTGTCTTACCCTCACATTAAGTTTTTTTTCTGTGTGACTTTTAGTCTCCTTTGTATCGTTCTATGTTGGTTTTATATTTTATTCAACTCTACATTGCTTAGCACATGTCAATCAGTAAATGTATTGAATGTAATCCCTACATTAACTAGAAGACTTAAAGAGAACCTATTTTAATCCTCATTTTTAAAATAAGAATGACTAAATGAATACATGAATGAATGTCATACCCAATGAATATCGAGATACTTCTAAGTATTTTTTCTCCTACAAAATACAAAACTAGATACTGAGTGAAAACCTTACATGATACATTACAGTAAAAGTCATTAATAACAATTTCTCATCTGTCTTCCTGCCATCCCCCGGCGCTGACCATGTCACCTTGAACAGGATTGTGCTCTTACAGGTGTCAGTGTCATTTGAGGATGTGACTGTGGTCTTCAGCAAGGAGGAGTGGCAGCAGCTGGACTCCACTCAGAGGTGCCTGTACCGGGATGTGACTCTGGAGAACTACAGCCACCTGCTCTCAGTGGGTAAGCACGGCCACCCAGTGTGACTGCTGGGGGGTCTCAAGGAGGCTATTTCCAGCCTCAGCTGCCGAGTGCTATGGGACATCTTAAGTGTGTGATGGTGTCATCCTTGATTTGCCTGAGATTCTTCAGTCCTCTTTTACTTCTGTGATTGTTACTCTAGTCCCAGTGAAATGCGATTACTTTTCTGAAGAGCAAATGGAATGTGTCATTGAAAGGTCCCTGAAACCCAATTAGCTGCATCCAATTCTGTATCATGTTCTGTTAACAGGGTATCAAGTTCCCAAACCAAAGGTCATCTTCCAGTTGGAGCAAGGAGAGGGACCATGGGCACTGGAGGAGGAAACCCCACCTCAGAGCTCTGTAGGTAAGTGGGTGTGACCCAGGTCAATGGGGGACATGTAAGTAAATCTCCCTCTTTTTAGGAGAAGCTGATATTTTTGATAGGCTCTGAGGAGAGCAAGTCTTGAAAATCCTAAAATTTTGGAGTTGTTTGGGGATACTTGACAGAAGCCCTTGTGATACCTAAATGTCATCTCCAAGTATGACACTTGCCACATCTGTTGTCTTCTTTGCTTGGCTTTTTGACAAGAGAGCTGTCTCTAATCTCTGTATCCTAGATCACACACACCACACCACCCCCATCTTATTTAGAATACTTTAATTTTTCCTAATCTACTCCTACCACTCTTGTTATCTTAGATTCTTTCCTTGAACATTCAAGTGTTTAAACATTTCTTCCCTTTAATTCCAACTCCCCATCTCCATTCCTTATCTCTGCTCCCATGGGCAATTGGTCTAACGTGTTTGATCTTTGGTTTTGTGTGGTATTCTCCTAAAACCTGTGGTTTATGAGTATATATCTTAGTATATATAAATTAAATTATATATAGTATATGTAAATTGTGCCGAGTCTTAATTCTGCTCCTTTTTTCTTCATTCATCCCTAAAGAGGGTCTGTAATGCAGCATGGTGATCTGGCTTTTTTCCTTGGATTGCTGCATTCCAGAATGCACCATTTAACCATTTACCCAGTGATAGAACCTAGATTTTCATTAACTCTAGCTAATGCAAACAACCCTGTATGCAAAAAATGTTCATATATGGAGTTTGAGGATTTCTTAGGAATGTGTATGAGAGGACTTGCCTCATCACTGCCTATTCTTATCCTGAATGTGACTCCATACCACCAAATTATTCTCTGCATACCACCCTTCTCAACTTCCGCATTTTGTCACAATCTGTCAATGTTTCTTAAATTTTCCAGTAATTTAAAAAATTACTCTGTAGTTCTTGCTATATTTTTGCAACACTGTACAAAAGGTTCTTTCTTTCCTAGAGTTTGTGCCAGCAATGAAGTTTTTCATTCTATATATTGTATAAAGAAATACAGGAATATCCCATATTTTATTTTTTATTTCTTCAATCTCATGTGAACTTTTCATTATAAACCTGTTTTGTCTCTTTGAGTTTCATTATAAACCTGTTTTGTCTCTTCTTAAGCATGACTTGCTCATGTTGCCATTGTTTCAGTTGCGTTTTCTCTCCATTTCTTGCTGACTTGCGTCCAGTTTATTTGTTCTTTCGTCTAGACTTTTTAGGTTTTTCTTTAGGTTCCCCCAGCGACCCTGTCTACTGTTCACCAATCTCCATACACATGCCTGGGTCCATCCATTGTGAAATTCTCATAAATCAGCTATTGATATCCCTCATCTGTTTTTCACCAGATTTAGCTACCCCACAAGTTCCCTTGGGATGTTTCTTTTGTTCCTTAGCACATAAAGAATCGGAGTTTTCATCACATCATGTATCCTAAACCCTTCACAAATTCTGCATTTTGTCACATTCTATCAATGTCTGTTAAATATTGCAGTAATTTAAAAAATTACTCTATAGTTCTTGCTATATTTTTGCAAGTATCATTTTCAGTTCTCAGTTCATTTCAATTCCCAGAAATATCACCCAAAACCAGTCCCTTATTTTTTTATGCTTGGATTATGATTATTGTATTCCTGATTAGATCCACTGATTCTGTTCTTTTTGCTACTTCACCTTAAATGCTAATGACAGATTTCATTACCTAAAACATTTTATTCATCTTGCCATAAGCTTTATGGAACAAATCTACAATTACTCTCCATTACCCACTATGTGACAATTAAACTTTCTTTCAAAGATATAAACATGACCATGTATTTCCATTTCAAACTTATATCTATGCATTTTCCAGCTATGTATGAAAGCTCCAGTTGACCTACCAACACTTAGAATTATCCATTTAAAGCATTCTTTAGGCACTGTAATAGTTGGGTTGTATCTTACCATGGTTTTCACATCTAATAGTTGACATCCCTATATCTTCTATGCCGTTTTCTATAGAAAACTTTGTTTTCTTATTTTTGAGTTTTAGACATTCTTTATATATCCTGGACACTGGCTATTTACCAGATATGTATTTTGCAAAGTTTTGTCTTTTTACTTTTTTTAATCAGTGTCTTTCATGAGAAGTTTTAGATTTTGACAATGTTTGATTTGTCTTTTATATTTTATGGATTGTGCTTTTGGTGTTGTATTTAAGAAATCTTTACCTAATCCAAGATCACTAAAATTTAGTGTTTACTTTTAGTTCTGTGATCCATTTTGTGTTCATTTTTTTATCTGATTAAAATATGGATCGAAGTTCTTTTTTATTTTGCACATGGCTATCCAATGGTCCCAATATCATTGAGTGAAAAAAGAACTATCCTTTTTCACTGAATTGCCTTTGCAACCTTTTTTTTAAAAAAAATCAGTTGTCAGCTACATGGGCTCTTCATTCTGTCCCAGATCTATTCATCTAGCTATATAATAAATTTGAAATCATGTAGGGTTAGTGCTACAACTTTGTGGTACTCTTTCAAATTGTTTTAGCTATTCCAAGTCCTTTGTATATCTACCTGAATTTTAAAAAGAGCTTTTCAATTTCTACAAAAGTAAATTTTAATTGGGATTATATTGACTCAGTAGTTTAGTTTGGAATGAATTGACATCTTTTTTTTTTTTTAAAAAAAAAAAGATTTATTTATTTATTTATACAAGCACTGGGTACAGTCAGAAGTGCGGGAGGGTGAGAGAATTCACCAGAGCCAGAGCAGGGAACAGAACAGGCAGACGGACCGAAGTACACTGCTGAGGGGAGCAGCGGGCACGGCAGGAGAGGTCTGCACTCCATGTGGGACCCTCGCTGGTGGCCGGGGATAGAACCGGCGCTGCAGAGGCTGCGGGCAGCTTCGCAGCCCAGCGCTCAACCGCTGCACCACCAGGGGAGGCCCTGAATTGACATCTTATTTCAATTTTCCATTATTGATTCTTCCAATTCAGGAACAAGTTATATATCTCCATTTATTTAGGTCTTTTTAAATTTCTCAGTGATGTTTTATACCTTTCAGTGGATAGGTCTAGGTCAGAATTAGCCCTAAGTACACCATATTTTATGTTGTTTTCCTCTGCTTTATTGATACATATATAACATATAACATTATGTAAATTTAAGGCATATAATGTGTTGATGTGATGCATTTATATATTGGAAAATGATTACCACCATAGCATTATTAGCGCCTCCATCCCAACAGTTACCATTTCTTATTCAGGGTGATAACATGTAATACCTACTTTATTATGAACATTCAAGTGTATGATACAGTGTCATTAGTTATAAATCACTATGCTATACCTCAGACATGGCACATTTCACATCTGCACATATTCTGCTGGCACGAACAAAGTGAGGCTGGCAAGTGTGATGCACAGCTACATTCTATTACTATGAAAGAAGAGAAGAGTAAATTTTGGTGGATGGCTTGCAGTTCCTGCCATAGATGACTTTGCCTCTCCTACTTGACATTTGTTGAAAGAATATATTCCTGGGAATATATTTCAGCCAGCTATAGTGCTGGAGCACAGATATCCACTTGGTGTTTGTCTGTGTCAGAATGGCAAATGTTACCGTAGTTTTTTTCTATATATATAGAGAGAGGAATAGGTGTTTGAGGCATATAAATTTAATGTTGATATTCATAATGATTCAGAGGGAAATGCAAGAAGCAGAGCAATTGGTAAGATTTTAGAGCTGATATATAGTAAGGAGATACAATCTGAAATATTTTTCCCATGCCGATTTTCCCTTAAATGACTTCTGCTTAACCCTGCTTACTATCCAGACCTTCTACATAGTAGATATGGATTTCTATGGTTCAAATTCCATTTCCCTCAATTATTTACTTGGATATTCAGCAAATCACATACTTCTCTGTGCTTCTATCTAGTCATCTGTAAAACATGACTGGGGTACTGGTAGATACCTAATACTTAGTATTAAATGGCCTGTTTATGTGTAAAGCATTCGGAACAGTGCCTGATAGATCATGAATGGTATATAATTGTTTTTCATATAGCAATTTTTTATTGGTACATTATTATTATTTTCATTATTATCAGATGAATTTTTCCATTTCTCGTTCATCCTGTCTGAACTACATATACCCTCTATCCTCCTGTAATTGTCTTTGAGTCATTTTCACTTTTTTCTGCTTCTCTTCAGGTAAAGATATTGGGCAAACCCGACAACAGAGAATTTCTGGAGCAGTTTCATTCCACCATGGGAAATTTGGTCAACCCATAAGAGAAGATTCATTCTGTTCCATTTTAGAAGAATTATGGCAAGATAATGACCAGCTGGAGAGATATCAGGAAAACCAGAATAACCCTTTAAGTCATGTGAAAGTATTAATTAAGGATAGGAGCAACGAGTGTAAAAACATTGAAAAAATAATTCATGGGAGTACCAAACTTGCTCCCGCAATTAAAAAATTCCACAACTGTGATACATTTGCAAAAAATTTGAAGCATACTTTCAACTTATATAACCATAATGGAGGCAGTGCAACAAAGAATCTTGATCTGATTTTTGGAAAAGGTAACAATTTTGCCCATAGCTCTTCCTCTACTAAGAATGAGACTGCTGATGCAGGAGTGAGTTCCTATGAACCTAATCAATGTGAAAAACATCTTGGCCACAAACAAGTCCTCATCCACCACCCAAAAAATCATATTGGGGAGAAACTTTATGTATGTACTGAACGTGTAAAGGGCTTCACCCAGAAGTCACATCTCTTTGAGCATCAGAGAATTCATGCCAGAGAAAAATCCCATAAATGCAACAAAAGTGAGAAAGTCTCCTCTCAGAAGCCACAAATTAGTGCAACTCAGGATGTTTATACAGGAGACAAATCCTATGTATGTACTCAATGTGGGAAGGCCTTTACTCTCAAATCAAACCTCATTACACATCAGAAAATTCATACTGGGCACAAACCATATAAATGCAGTGAATGCGGAAAAGCCTTTTTCCACAGATCTTATCTCTTTAGGCATATGAGAATTCATACAGGAGAAAAACCTTATGAATGCAGTGAATGTGGAAGAGGTTTCTCCCAGAATTCAGACCTCAATATACATCAGAAAACTCATACTGGAGAGAAACACTATGCATGCAGTGAGTGTGGGAAAGCTTTCACAAGAAAATCAGCACTGAGGATGCACCAGAGAATTCACACAGGAGAGAAACCCTATGTATGCACTGAATGCGGAAAGGCCTTCATCCAGAAATCACACTTCAATACACATCAGAGAATTCATACAGGAGAAAAACCTTATGAATGCGGTGACTGTGGGAAATCATTCACTAAGAAGTCACAGCTCCACGTGCATCAAAGAATTCACACAGGAGAAAAACCCTACATATGTACAGAATGTGGAAAGGTCTTCACTCATAGGACAAATCTCACGACCCATCAGAAAACTCATACAGGAGAGAAACCTTATATGTGTGCTGAATGTGGGAAGGCTTTCAGTGATCAGTCAAATCTCATTAAACACCAGAAAACTCATACTGGAGAGAAACCCTATAAATGCAATGGCTGTGGAAAAGCCTTCATATGGAAGTCACGCCTCAAAATACATCAGAAATCTCATATCGGAGAGAGACACTATGAATGCAATGAATGTGGGAAAGCTTTCATCCAGAAATCAACACTAAGCGTGCATCAGAGAATCCATACAGGAGAGAAACCTTACGTTTGTCCTGAATGTGGGAAGGCCTTCATCCAGAAATCACACTTCATTGCACATCATAGAATTCACACTGGAGAGAAACCTTATGAATGCAGTGACTGTGGGAAGTGTTTCACTAAGAAGTCACAACTCCGCGTGCATCAGAAAATTCACACTGGAGAAAAACCAAATATATGTGCTGAATGTGGAAAGGCCTTCACTGATAGGTCAAATCTCATAACACACCAGAAAATCCATACCAGAGAAAAACCCTATAAATGCAATGACTGTGGAAAAACCTTCACTTGGAAGTCACGCCTCACAATCCATCAGAAATCTCATACTGGAGAGAGACACTACAAATGCAGTAAATGTGGGAAAGCTTTCATCCAGAAAGCAACACTTAATATGCATCAGATAATTCACACAGGAAAGAAGCCCTATGTTTGTACAGGATGCCAAAAGGCCTTCACTGACAGATCAAATCTCATTAAACACCAGAAAACTCATAGTGGAGAAAAACTCTACAAAGCCCACGCCTGAAAAAGTCTTCAACTCGAAATCACAACTGAGTATTCATCAAAAGTGTCATGATGGAAAAGAGGCATGTCTTAAGCTGCATTCATTGTGTAGGGGGGATTAGATAAAATGGCTGAAGGCTTGAGTGACTAGACGGCAGCCAAAGCCAAGTATCATTCAGGCGATTGGAAATACAAATACCTGCATCACCACAGTTGGTATGTGATTGTATGTGTAGGGAGACATTGATAAGGCATTTGAGCAGTAGTCCTGTTTGATGTCACTATTCACATAGGAACTGTCAAGCTCCTGCAAATGGTGGAAATAAAGACCCCAGGAGATGACTCATAATCTCTTATGTTTCACTTTGTTGGATAAAAGACTATGAATTCAGCACTGATTAGTTCTTCATACCCTGAGATGTGAAAGTACTCAGTACTGGTCCATTTTGTTTTCAACTTTCCAGGGTGAGGAGAAGAGTTTCCATTGTCCAAATACCTGCAGGGTACTGAAGTCAAGGTGAAAATCTATTTGGGAATGTAGGCCTGTGAGCAGAAGTCAGACTTTTTGTGATCAGTGACATTTAAGATACAGAAAAGATTGCCATGAAGAACTGTTCTTTCTCTTCCCTTTGAGGAGTCACCATAGGATATTTTTAAAACATGAAATATCAATTTCAAACTTAAGGTCTGGCTTAATGAATTGGCAAATTAGACATACCTCTAGCCTACGTACTGGAGTATAGTTATGAAACATTACATACATCTAAAGGTTATCATTAGTCTCTCATTAGTACCATGCTGTGGTAGCAGGTGTTTCACACCTAAAAAAAAAAGTATGCATACCTTCCAACAGGTAGCACATAAACTACTGTTTATGTAAGCTGCAGACAGTAGACCTCTTATTCCCCTGGTAATTGACCCTAAGCCATGGAACTGAGCCACAGTACCTAGGACTTGCAGTCTTTTCCACTGAAGCCTCTTTTCTCTTTGGGATTGCCATTTGAAAAAGAACGGCTAAAAAATGGGTTTCAATATACATAAGTTGATTTTGCCTTCTAATTTGGTTAAGAAATATTGATTTTCTACATGCATATTATAAGTAGTTTTCTGTAGATTGTTGTAGAATAAAATCATGTTGCATTGTAGCTGGATTGTTACATTGTAGAAACCACTGCTTTTTTCAAAAAGCACTGATATATATAGACACTTTCTCATTTTCCCTTAAACATTTTTCTACACTACTCATAAGAAAGTGCTTTTTTCTAGCATGCAATTTTATTTTGTTTTTAGACCTTTTTATTAACATATAATGCATACAGAAAATGCACATATCATTAGCATACAGCTCAATGAATTTTCACAAACTGAACCTGCTCAGATCAAGAAACAGAACACAACCAACAGTTCAGAGGCACCCCCTTACCACTCCAATTAGGAGTCACTATCCTGACTCCTAATAATATAGATTGGTTTTGTCTATTTGATATTTTCTATAAATTGAATCAGTTGTGTTTTATGTTTTTGTAATATACTCTTTGTGTCTTTCTTCTTTCAATCATATGATGAACATGAGATTCATCCATATTGTTAAATGTGGTTATAGATAATTCATTCTCATTGTCATATTATATTCGATTGTGGGAATATATTACAATATGTTTATCCATTCTACTGTTGATGGACATTTGAGTTGTTCGCAGGTTGGGGACATGAGGACTATTGCTGCTATATGTATTTTCATACTATGTATTGGTGAACATATTTATGAATTTCTGTTATGTATAGATCTAGGAATTGAATTGTCAGGCCTACGGTATTCTTATGCTCAGATTTATGTTTTAAAACTAGTTTTCCAAAGTGTCTCTTCCAATATACACTCCCATCAGCACAGTATGCAAGTTCTAGTTGCTCCACATCCTAGTCAACACTTGGTATTTTCCACCTTTTTTACTTTAGCTACTATGGTTGGTGTATAGTGATATTTCAGTGTGGTTTTAATTTTTACTGTCTCATCCCCCAATCCCATCCTAGTAACTTGCAAGACAGATGACTGATGTCTGTAACTTGCAAGACAAATGAGGACCAGGTATGCTCTTCACATGCTTGTACCATTTTACATGCCACCATCAATAGTAAGCAGTTACTAAGTTTAAATCTTCCCACACACAAAAAGTCCAATGCCACTGGCTAATTGCGTTAAACATTTATAATAGAAATAATATCAACATTCCACAAAATCTTTCAGAAAATAGAGTGGAAGGAACACTGCTTAACTCTAAGAGATCTGTGTTACACTGATATTTAAGCCATATACACTTCCCACAAGAGAACTACACACCAGTATTCCTCATGAATGTAGACATAAAAATCTTCAACAAAACATTAGCAAATTGAATCTAGCAATATATAAGGGAATTACACATCATGACCAAGTGGGGTTTATTCCAATGATGCAAAGCTGCTTCAACATTAATAAAATTAGTCAATGTACTATACTATATTAATTAAAGAAAAAATACATGATCTACAGATTTAATACAACTTTATCAAATTTCTAGCAGACTTTCTTATTCAAAACTTGATAAGCTAATTCTAAATTTAATTTAGAAATAGAAAGGACCAAGACTAGTAAAAAGGAATTTGCCAAAGAAGAACAAAGCAGGAGGACATTCACCTCTCAATTTCAAAATTATTACAAAAATACAATAATCAATACAGTATGTTACTGACCTTGGGGTAGTGGAACAGAATATTGTCCCAAGAATAAATCCTTGTACTTAGGGAAAACATGTTTTTTACAAAAGTGTGAAGGCAATTCAGTGAGGGAAAGAATAATCTCTTCAACATATGATGCAGGGATCATTGTATACCCACATACACACAAAAATGAATTTAAGTCTTATTCCATAAAAACACAATAAAAATTAACTCAAATGGATCACAGATATAAATATAAAAGCTGAAACTATGAGAGTTTTAACAGAAAACATAATATATGGTCTCTATGACCATATATTAAGCAAGGAAACTTAGATAGGACACCAAGACCATGATCCATAAAAAAAATAATATAAATTGTGTTTCATCAAAACCAAAAAGTTTGTGCTTCAAAAGACACCATTAAAGTGCTAGGAAAACTAGACAGTCATATGCAGAAAAATGAAACCAGATCATTCTTTCATACCATACACAAAAGTTAATTCAAAATGGATTAGAAACTTGGATGTAAGACTGGAAACCATAAAATGCATAGGAGAAAACATAGGCAAAACACTCTATGACATTGGCTTCTGTGATGTATCTGGGGACTCAATTCCAATGGCACGGAAAACAAAAGCAAAAATAAACAAATGGGACTGCATCAAACTGAAAAGTTTCTATACTCAGAAACTATAGTTAAAATAAAAGGATGCCCTGCTGAATGGGAGAACATATTTGTACATCATGCATCTGACAAGGAGCTAATATCTGATTTACAAAGAACTCATACAGCTCAACAAAAATGAAACAAAGAATCCTATCCAAAAAATGGGCAGAAGAGCTAAATAGACCCTTCTCCAAAGAAGACATACAGATAGCCATAAAGCACATGAAAATAAGTTCAACATTGCTTATCATCAGGGAAATAAATGCAAATCAAAACCACAATGAGATAACATGTCCATATCAAAAAACCCAGCAACAGCAAATGCTGGGGAGGATGTGGAGAAAAAGGAACCCTCCTACATTGTTGGTGGGACTATTAACTGCTCCAGCCCCATGGAAAACAGTATGGAGGTTCCTAAAAATATTAAAAATAGATCTACCATATGACCCAGAACTTCCACCCAAAGAATGCAAAAATACTAATTTAAAGGGATATATGTGCTTTACAGTAGTGAAGTTATGGAAAACAACCTAAGGGCCTCCAAACAGATGAGTGGATTAAGATGTGGTACAGATACATAATGGAACTCAGTTATAAAAAAAAAAATGAACTCTTGCAATTTGCTGCAACTTGGATGGAATTGGATGAAATTATGCTAAATGAAACAAGTCAGGAGAATGATAAATACTGGATGATTTCACCCATATGTGGAATGTAGAAAAACAAAGCAAAGGGACTGACAAAACTATACCAAAACAAACCCTAAAAATATAACTGCAGAACTGAGGCTACTAGAGGGGATAGGAATAGGAACAAAGTGGGTAGGGGACCGACTTGTCTATGATAAAGGACTATGAAAGATTTTGTGCTGCATGTGGTGTGGTGACGGGCATCTGAGGAGGTGTGAACCTATTCCCTTAAATCATGTACAGTGTTGTAAACCAGTGTTAGATAAAAAAAGAGAGAGAGAGAAAGACATCTTTAAGAAAATAAAAATACAAAACACAGACTCAGAGAAAAAATCATAAATCATGTATCTGATAAAGAACTTATTGCCAGACTATATAAAGAACTTTCACAACTCAATAAAAACAAGATAAACAACCCATTTTTAAAATGGGCAAAAGATTAAAGAGACATTTCATCAAAGAACAAATACAAATAATCACATGAAGAGATGCCTAACATCAGTAATCATTAGGGAAATTCTAATTAAAACCACAATGAAAAATGATGTAAAAATATATAAATAAAAAATTCAAAAAAAGAAAAAAAAACAAAGGTATTAGAAAACAAACAAACAAACAAAAAAAAAACAAAAACCAACAACAACAAAAAAAAACACAATGAGGTAGGGCCTCAACTGCCTGGTGCAGGCAGTTGAACACAGCACTGTGAAGCTGTCCGCAGCCTCTGCAGCACAGGTTCGATTTGGCTGGCCACTTGGCATGGCAGACCTCTCCTGTCTCTTCCACTGCTCCCCTCAGCAGTGTATTTCAGCCAGTCTGCCTGTTATGTTCCCCACTCTGTCTCTGGTGAATCCTCTAACCCTCCCACACATCTGGCCTGTACCAGAGTTCTTGTAGCATGAATAAATACATCTTTAAAAAAAAACGCACAATGAGATACAACTTTATCTGCACTCAAATGCCTATAACAAAAAAGACAATTAGGGCCTCCCCGGTGGTGCAGTGGTTGAGTGCTGGGCTGTGAAGCTGCCCACAGCCTCTGCAGCACCCTGCGGCACCAGTTCTATCCCCGGCTGCCAGTGAGGGTCCCACATGGTGCACAGACCTCTCCTGCCTCACCCGCTGCTCCCCTCAGCAGTGTACTTCATCAGTCTGCCTGTTCTGCTCCCCACTCTGGTTCTGCTGAATTCTTTCACCCTCCCGCGCTTCTGACTGTACCCAGTGCTTATATAAATAAATAAATAAATCTTTTTTTTTTTTTTAAAGACAATTATAACAACTGTGGGCAAGTATATGGAGAGTCCAGAATTTTCATATGTTTCTAGTTTGAATAAGTTCAAGTTTATCGCTTCTCGGCCTTTTGGCTAAGATCAAGTGAATAAGTTCAAGTTGTGTAATGTTTTGAAAAATTTTGGTAGTCTCTTAAAATATTGATTATAAATTTACCATATGACCCAGCAATGCTAATCCTCAGTATTTACCCAAAAGATATGCAACATTTATTCACACAAACAATTGCACTTGAATATTCATAACACCATTATTCAAATGTGGCCAAAAGTGGAGACAATTCAAATATTCATCAACTAGTGAGTGGATAAACAAAATGTGATATATTCAACAATAAAAAGGAACAAGTGCTAATAAATAGTAAAACATGAATACACCTCAAAACCATTCTGCTAAGTGTAAGAAATGGGACACAAGAGACCAAATGTTGTGTTTGTATATTTTATTTATATGAAATGTGCAGAAAAGGCAAAGCTATAGAGTCCTGTAGGTTAGTGGTTGTCTGGGGTTAAGAATGAGAACAGTTATTAACTGTAAATTAAAGCAAAGGATCTAAATGGAGTTGATGTAAATGTTCTAGAACTTTATTGTGGTGATGGTTACACAATTAAGGAAATCTAATAAAGCTCATTGAGGTGATCTTTAATTCCTTTCCTGTTTAAACATCTGTATTCCCTGCCATAACATCTGTGGCCATCTCTAGCTAGAATGAAGTGTTGTCTTGGCACCTGTTGTATACCTAATAAATTCATTTTTGAAAAAGTCATTGAACTGAAAATTTAAATATGTAATATAAATCATACCTCAATAAATGTGTTTCTTTTTCAGAGTTGTTTGACTATGTTAGATCCTTCATATTTCTATGTGAGTTGTAGAATATGTTTGTCCGTTTCAGATATGCTATATGACCCAGAAATTCCACTCCTAGTTATCTACCCAATGAACACAAAAACACTAATTTGAAAGGAAACCTGCACTCTTATGTTCATTGCAGCACTATTTACAATAGCCATGATATGGAGACAAGCCAAATGCCCACAACAAATGAGTGGATCAAGAAGACGTGGTGTATATACTTAGTGGAATACTACACAGTGATCAAAAAAGATAAATTTGTGCCATTTACAGCAACATGGATGGAGCTGGAAGGGATTACGCTCATTGAAATAAGCCAGAGGAGAAAGATAAATACCAATGGTATCACTTATATGTGGAATATAGAGAAACCAAACAAAGGTTCAGACAGACAAGCATTAAAACCAACCCTTGAAAGCTGACTATAGATCTGAGGCATCCTGAAGGGGAGGAGAAAAAGGGGTGAGAAAGAGAGGGAGGAAAATAAACTATAGTGTAGGAGGACTATGGTGCTTTGGTGGTGGGAGAGCTATGGTGACCACACCTGAGGGGAGAAATCCTGTACTGTCGAAATGTTAACAAAGTTGTAAATTAATCGTACATCATTTAAAAAATAAATTAAAAAAATTTTCTCCTTTCAACAGCAAAAATGAACGAACAAAAAACACAACAAAAACCCTGCTGATATTTTTATTGGGATTGGTTTCTATCTGTACATTTATTTGACAAGAATTGAAATCATTAACAATTTTGAGTTTTTTTACCCCAAAAGCTTATCTCTCAAATAGAGTATATCTCTTTAAGGATTGTGTCTTAGGGCCTCCCCTGGTGGCACAGCGGCTGAGCTGGGCTGCGAAGCTGCCAGCAGCCTCTGCAGCACCTGCCGGTTTGATCCCAGGCTGCTGGCCTCCGGCGAGGGTCCCACATGGCGCTCAGACCTCTCCTTCCGTACCCGTCGGTCTGCCTGTTCTGTTCCCTGCTCTGGCTCTGGTGAGTTCTCTCACCCTCCCACGCTTCTGACTGTACCCAGTGCTTGTATAAATAAATAAATAAATAAATAAATAAATCTTAAAAAAAAAAAAGATTTTGTCTTAGCTCTCAGGAATATTTTGTACTTTTTAGTGTATCAGTCTTTCACCTCTTCTGACAAAATCTTTCCCTCTTTCATGTTTTTGATGACATTTTACTTAGTGTTGTCTTATTTATAACTTTAAAGTCATTGGATACATGTTCTTGATTTTGTGCTAATTCAGTTAGTCTCACCCTTTGATCTATCTCTATTTTTACTTATGATAAACTTGTGTAGAAATATTTAGCATAGAAATCAGCTGATGTTTAGATAATTTCAGTTTTTCAGGCTATTCATTTTTCTTCAGTAGTATATCCTGAAAAGTCTTTGACTCAATTTCCCAATATATTTGACCATCAATATAAATATAATCTTAGCAACAATGCCAGAGTTAGATCAGGTTATAATGTGGTAGCGGAGGTAACCTGTGTTCAACACTGTACATATAATCAATGATAATATATCGTGTTAACTTTTAAAGATTTATTTTTATTTATTTATGCATACATGAACTGGGGTGTAGGCCAGAGGTTGGGGGGCTGGCTAAGAGGATTCATCACAGACAGAATGGGGAGCAAGTGGCGAGACAGTCCCTGGCCAGGGATGGAACTCAGGCTGCAGTGGTTGGTGAGAGCTTGATAGCGCTGAGACTTTAACCCCTGCACCACCAGGGAGGCCAGAAATATTTTGTTAAATTTTAAATCAGGGTGTTCTTTCATTAAGTGTTCTTTCAAAAAAAAATATAATACAAATAAAATAAAATGATAAAATATATTAAGAGTCAAAATTAAGAGTCAATATTGGCTCATTACTAGAGTCCTGTTAAGTCATCAACAACTGGTCCAGTTCGTCTCCCAAAGGAACACATTCAGCTTTGAGGGATTCCATTCAATTTGGTCAGTTCCCAAAGTAGGAACAGTCTTGGAACATGCGGCTTCATTTTCCTCAGGCACGTGATAAAATTTAGTTAAGAGACAATACTGTCTCTTGCTTTGAGACTCTCGGAGTACCAAGGTAATGGATTTCCCTTGTTACATAACCCATTTAGTCATTCTTTTACTCCAGTATCCTAGCACTGAAGAGATACAACAAAGGGAGGGAGTTGACGGTGATAAATTATTTGACTGCTGTTCCAATCTCCATGTCTTCAGAAAAAGATTCCACGTGGGAATTTCTCAGACTGATTCTTGACCTCTCTCGATGAAACAACTGAAACAGGATGGGAAATATTTCACAGGGGAACTGTGTCAATTTGATAGAAGCCCTGTCGCTCTATGAAGAACAGCTCAGACAACTGCCTTGTCTTGTGGAATTCTCAGGGAAATTGTCCATGAGCCTTCATACTTGGAATTGTGGGTATTCTACCCTTAGGAAGAAAGCTAGACCTTGAAGATCAGCTTTTAATTCTGTTCATTGTATTTTTTCTGTTGAAATTTCCATTTGATTTTAATCTGTATTTTCTTTACCATTGTCAAGACTATTTTTTTGTTGAAACTCTATTTTGTCATTTGTTCCGAATGTGTTTATAATTGTTCATTGAAGCATTTTTACTATGACTGCTTTAAAATCTTTGTCAGATCAAAGGAGCAAAGACTATGCATTGGAGCAAAGAAAGTTTGTTCAATAAATGGTGCTGGGAAAACTGGGTCGCTACATGCAAAAGAATGAAGCTTGACCACTACCTCACACCATACACAAAAATCAACTCAAAATGGATTAAAGAACTAGACATATGACCTGAAACCATAAAATATATAGAAGGAAACATAGGCGAAACACTACGTGATTTGCACATCAAAGACATCTTTACAGACACATCACCCAAAGCAGTGATAGTGAAGGCAAAGATCAACAGCTGGGACTACATCAAATTAAAGAGCTTCTGCACAGCAAAAGAGACAATAACAAAAACAAAGAGAAACCCCACCAACTGGGAGAACATTTTTGCACCCAACACTAATGATAAAGGACTGATCACAAAAATCTGCAAAGAGCTGATGAGACTCAACAACAACAAAGAAAATAATCCAGTCAAAAAATGGGCAGAAGAGCTAAAAAGAAACTTCTCTGAAGAGGAAATGCAAATGGCCAACAGGCATATGAAAAAATGCTCAACATCACTTGTCATCAGGGAAATGCAAATCAAAACTACCATGAGATACCATCTTACACCAGTGAGAATGGCACATATTAAAAAAACTAGCAACAACAAATGTTGGCGAGGGTGTGGAGAAAAGGAACTCTTCTGCACTGTTGGTGGGAGTGCAAACTGGTCCAACCACTGTGGAGAGCTGTGTGGAGATTTCTGGACCTACTAAACATAGAGCTTCCATATGATCCAGCAATTCCACTCCTAGGTATTTACCCAAAGGACACAGAAACATCCATTCCAAAGAGCACCTGCACCCCTATGTTTATAGCAGCACTGTTTACAATAGCTAAGCTTTGGAAACAACCCAAATGCCCAAAAATAGATGACTGGATCAAGAAGATGTGGTACATATATACCATGGAATATTACTCAGCATTCAAAAAAGATAAACACATGCAATTTGCAGCAACATGGATGGCGCTGGAAGGGATCATGCTCAGCGAAACAAGCCAAAAAGAAAAAGAAAAATACCGGATGGTCTCACTCATAGCAGGAATCTAGAAAACTTAAATAAGGGACCAGGAAAATGAATAACTATAAGAAAGTGAAAATCAAAATCAACAAAAAACTATGAACCAGAGACACTTTTAGGGGGGCGGGGGCGGGAGGGGAGGGATTGGGGTCAGAATGGGGGGGCTGCAATTGTATGGGGAATATAAAAATAAAATTTATTATTTAAAAAAAAATAAAAAAATAAATGAAGAAAAAAATAAATAAAATCTTTGTCAGATAATTCTAATATCTTAGTCATCATGGGGTTCACATGTATCAATTGTCTTTTTTCATTCAATTTGATATCTTCCTAGTATGACAAGGGATATTCAATTGAAAGCTGATTACTTTAGATATTATGAGACTCTGGTTCTTGTTCAAGCCTTCTCTTCTAGATGACTTTTTCTGACACCACTCCAGCAGGGAAAAGGAATGGAGGGTGTTGGTTGCTAAAGCCAGGTATGGGGAGAAGTCTGGTTTCCACACTAGGCCTCTATTGATAACAGAGTGGGGAGACTCATTACTGCTGGGCATGCTGGAAGTTCCACTCCCTAGTAGGGATCCACTGATATTTCAACAGATGGGACAGATGGAAGTTCTTCCTTATTGTTCTCCACATGACCCCCAGTGATACCACCCTGAGGGGACAGAGGAGCGCCTTGACGCCTCCGTGTGAGAGAGGAAGTCCAGGCTCTCCATATGGTCTCCACTGACATCATGAAGGGGATGATTTGTTACCACCCAGGGGGGACAGAAGTCTAGCTGCCTAGTCGATCTTTTCTGATGCCCCTTGGCAGAGGGTTGGTGTGCTTTTACAGCCTGTTCAGCGTAAAAATGTAAGTTCCTTGCTTGGCATTTGTTGGTATAGGTGGGAGTTGGAACACATTTTTTGGATGCAATAAAACTATTTTCTCAAAGTCGAGTGTTTTGTTTGGCTGCCCATTTCCTTTAACTTCGAAAAGAAAGCAGTTTTTTTTTTTTTTTTAACATCATTGTTCATTACTGTATAATGTTTGATTTCTCCCCTTAGGTGTAATTTCTGTAAAATACCCACCACCAATTCACCTGTCAACTGTCACCATAGTCCCTTGTGCTCTTCCCGCCTGTTGTGCCCCTTCTCCTTCTGTATGTCTTGGATTTATAGTTTGCCTGTGAGTTTTGTCTTTTCTTCTGACCCCTTGCTTGGTTTCCCTATATTCCTGTAAGGGAAGCCATTTGATATTTTTCTT